CAATAACTATTACTGAAACGGTAATTACGTGACTAGTAAGGCGAACTGCCATTATATGATCCCTTTGGGTGCCAATTATACGCATAATATGTATTTGGGAAACGAAATAGTTACGGGTAGGTCTTAAAAATGATCACTTAGCTAATCTTCAATGGTCTTCGCTGTGACGTTTGGAAGAGTACTTGCGTACGGGTATACTGAAAGACATTACCTGCTATAACTGATAAGCGCTTCGTTCCATAGGAAGATGGATTGATACAAAGTCACATAGCAGCTGGTATATCCTTTATTAATTGCTCTGCGACATATACGTAATCCAATATATATGCAATAGACAGAAATATATTGCTTACATAAGTTCCAAGTAAACGCGGCACATTGTGACACTTCTATATAGTGAATACGGATATATACGGATTTGGACGAATGGTCCTCTCTTTTTCACAGACACACGATCACTTCAGAGTGTTTCAATAGGATAATAGAATCTTGTCGCCTTACATATTTCGTAGTAATCCGAGCGTGCTACGTTCGGTAATAACGAAGGGAGGGTCCCGTGTTGAGTTAGCTCAGCCACTTTAACACCTATGCTTGCGCCCTATCTTTTGCCATCATTGTATACTTGTCACTCGTTAGCGACAAACTGCTATTACGATACGATTGTTGTTATCGTTATTCTAAGAACCTTTGATTGCCGAGATATCGGGTTTGTTCCGACTGAAGTTAACGTGTCGGCGAAACTAACGTCCATTCGATTTTGGGGTGCGTTTCGTTCTGTTCTGGTGTAGGACGGACACTAGTGGATAATTCGTTCGCATCTACTTACGCATTACCAAATAAGAAGTGTCAACGAACGGGGAATCAAGAGATCACATCGAGCTGGGGAGGATTCGTTATAAAGCATCGCTGAGATACGCCCTCAAATAGGCATTGTCTACCTAAAGCAGGGCTTTCAAGGTGCCGACGTTAAGTCCTTGGTGATGATAATAACAACAGTCCTACGAAAGACAGTACATCTATTACGATGAAGGCAGTATCCTCATTGCCACTAGCTAGAAGGCGGCAGTTGCTCTACTTTTCGGCTATTCTGTACACTTGATGTTGCCGTTGTTGATGCTCTTGTTATCAGTCTTCGTAGTTATCAGTAGGGCAGTTGTTAGGCGGAGACGGGAAGGGGAGATGCCTAAAGCTTGAACGAATACGAGACCGCCCGCCTGCCCGCCCGCCCGCCCGCCGGCGAAACAAAGCGAGAAAAAGGGCGGGAGTAAGGCGCATAGGAAGGACAAATGTGAAAAAGATCGTATGGGGGGAAGTTACATGTGGAATCGAATGATAATAACCTTTGATCGCCACCTCAATCATCACCACTTAGATATGCCCATTGCCTAGGATTTCCTTACTTACCTGCCAGGAATGTGCAAGGTTGTTTTTTATGTCATAGATAACATTCGCTGATAGTCCGAATACTTAACTGCTGCTAACTTAGTTACTGTATATTCGTTCCTGGCTCCGCTGCTACGTTATTGCTTCGTTGTTATCAGGGATGTTTGAAAGCTTCTATTGCTGATGCCTGGCCTCTAAAAAGCTGATATAGTGCAAAAGCTAAATACTAGCAATCAACAACGTTAAGAGCCCCCTGGACGCCTCTGAAGCGCAATCGAACTATTTGAAAGTAAATACAAAGGTAGAGCACAAGATAGTTCTCGATCTCAACACAACCAGTCACGAGCTATTTATCGGTCAAAAGTTCAAAGCCAGATCAACTTACCCTATTTGTTAGCTAAGAATTAACTGGACGGTTGTCTTTTCAAATATTGTCTCACAAGAGATCTTCAAATATTATCAAATTTATGTCTAGTAGCAGACACGTACGAGCGAATCATTGAGAGATTTGGTTGTCGACAGCAACGATGCCTGAAATCTACGTTTTTCTCGCTTTGCTTTTTTCATCAAAATTTCTGTCTACCACTATTATTATCGTCACCGGCATCGTCATCAATATGATTATCATTGCTCCCGTTGGTACTGTTATTGTAATGGGGTGTTGTTTGTGTTTAGACAACAGTGACAATAAACAGAGCGACGGCAACGTCATGGCCGGCACCGACGGTGCTCATTGTTGGTGTTTTTCGCCGCTATCAATCAGAAGCGTAGGCTCTGCTTTTCATTAGTTTTAACATTTTATACGCCTCACCTTTTCAAAAAGAGACGCGATTTTCGGGTGGCCAAATACCAGCTGACAGCTTTAGCGTACTGGCCTGCCTACGGTCTCACTGCGTATGAAGAGTCCTGAGGCCTTTTTCATCAGTTCTCTTCTCACTGCTACATGCTAGAGGAAGAGTATCAACAACAAGAACAGCAGAAGCAACAAAAGGAGGTAAATATAGAGTATATTGGTAGCACTGGAATAGCCATCGTACAGACGACGCTAGGTTTTCGATGGGAATTTGTGGAGGTGCGACGACTACCATAATCAGTAGTAGCACGACGACCTTAGGTTAGGCCCATGCGGCTGTTAGTTCTATTGCTGTCATAGATATGCTGGGGCTACTGCCGTTGCTGCTAATAACTATGATGCCTGGGTTGTACGCTGTTGTCTGCCTATTGTGGGCCCTATAGGCTATCGCGTCGACCGTTTGTGGATGGACACGTCTCGACATTTTTTCTTATCAGTGTCTATGGATGATGTTTTCTACCGCTGCCGCCATCACGGACTATATATGTGTACGTTTGTATATTGAGTTTTGCTGCAAGTGTATTGTTTCTGCAGAGCCCTTCGGTCGACTCCCGGCAGACGACTGAAAAGCGATAAATCACATCGTGGTTAAATGTTCTTTAGTTCGACATTTCTTGGCTGAGGGTGGAGAGCTGAAGGAGATGGCGAAGGTAATCGAAAGGTATTCATGTTGCTCATCGTTGCCAGTACGACAGTTGTTAGTACTGCGCCTGTGTACGACGTTCGCCGATGCTAAGTGTCAGTTAGTAGGCGAAAGAAGCTGAGAAAGTAAAAATAAGCAAAAATGTTAGACTCTTTTTTCATGTTGAATCCTTGTTATCGTAGCAATGAGCTGTCTATTTCAAGTATCTACCATTGATCTCGGCCAATGCAGAGGTGATGCTGCTAAAAGTAACACGTTCAATGAAGTCAATGCCGCACAAGTCATCTATCATTAACGCCGTTGAGACGACTACTACCGTTTTTGTCATCATAATACGTGACATTACACATTTGCTTGTAAATATATCAGTCACTGTGATAGAAACTTATCACTTTTATTCATAGTTCCGTTACGTATCGCTAGACAACCTAATACCATTTGTCCCGTCGTTTTTTGAACCTGATGATTCGTTGTTCCACTTTCCTGTCTCTCCTGTTTATCTCGCCCAGTGCTTCCTTCACCAACCCACTAGCTGTCTGTCAACTATAATTAAATAATCATAATATTTCATTGTACTGATGCACGTATTGGTCGTTTGTAACGATCCGTTCGTGCGATCGGTTGTTCGTTCCCTTCTACTTGCCTCTGGGTCTCTGATAGTAACTGTAGATATAACTATTTCTGCTAGCTCTCGTAGATAGATTCGATTTCTGTTTGGATACTCTCGCCTGTTGCCGGCTCATCATGCCGCTGATACTCGTGCGGCCTGAACGTGACTGTAAATACGACGTGCATTCGACGAAGCGACGGCGATTCTGGCCGCTTTCGAAGGTCCATGCTACGGTCTCTCTGTAGGCCGGCTGCTTTGCCTTGCTACAGGTGCGGTCGTTTTACTGCGGACTATCGTTTATAAATACCGTTACGTCCAAGTCTTTTGTCCTTCGTCAACAAAGAGATTAAGGGTTTCTTGACGTACGCTCTGGTTTTCTTATATTATCGATGTGTGTTTCCCTAGCGAGGCATGCCGGCCGCCACTTCGCTCTCGACTGGCGATAATTTTAATAGTCATAATAATGATTAGTATTACTATCGAGACCTGAATCGTATCCATCGACAATCTATACAGCATACAGCAGTAGGATTCTGTGACGAGACAAAATATCGTAGCAGTAGCAACTAGCAAAGCAGTGTTCGTGCGTCGCGAGATTAGTCGTCTACTGTTGTAGCGTTATCATAGAAACGCCTAGGAAATACAGCCGCAGTGAGCTATGCAACGTGGTGATGAGGCGGCCGCGGCCGCCGCCGCCGCCGCCGCCGCCTCCGCAGACTAAACGGCTTAATTCCTAAAACACAATGGCGGTACGTAATTTCGTACGAACTCTCAAATCGCTTTTTATCGAACAGTGGAACACTTTATTTGACTCATTAATGCGATGCAATGATTGTTTCATCAGTCGTTACCTCATTGAGGAGGAGGCTAGCTTGCGTAAAGCAAAATCACAGACTAAAACGTACATTAGATTTAGAACTTAAGAAAAAACAAAATTGATCAACTTATCCTCAATTAAAGTTAAAGATTGACTGGACAAGTTAGATGGATACAAACAACATGCGAAGATAAACAGACATAGAAAAAGTCTTCCCTCGTGACAGTTCGCGGGTTGTTTTTCCCCGTCTATCGTCAGTTTGCAGACTCCAAAGCAAACGTTATTTATGAGCTTAGTGCCAAATGGCAGCAACAACGAAACTAAAAAAATTTAGTTCTATTGTACACATATATATATATATATATATATATCTTCATTTAACTTCACAATAATAATGATTCCTGGGATACTTTGCGCATAAATTCGACAATACATAGCCCATCTTCGAGCCAGGATTCGATTACCGCTGCTATTCGAACTATACAATTTTGCCGTTCTTAACTACTTCTACATGTTCCGTATCGTCCTCTATCTATTTACTGCAAAAATTTCTACAACAAAAAAAGGGCAGCGGCGGCATAACAGCCCAGCGCGCAGGCTATGCGTACACATACGTTTGCCCACTAACCAACAATATATCACACAGGAACAGGCACAATTTTATTATTATAATTGACTACCATTCAACTTACAGGTCCCGAAGCTGCCTCCTTCCTACTGCACCCGTTTCGGAAGCCGAAACGAATTCGAACTGCTTTCTCGCCGTCCCAGCTACTCAAATTGGAGCACGCCTTCGAAAAGAACCATTACGTCGTCGGTGCTGAGAGGAAGCAACTGGCTCAATCGCTGAGCTTAACTGAGACACAGGTCAGTCATTTCCGCTAGGTAGAACCGCAAAGTAAAGCCTCTGACATCCCTGAACAGCACTCGTCCGAAAATCCCGACCGATATCGCTGTCGTCCCGAAAGCACACACACCGAACAATTACACTAACAGAGAAAAGAACGTAGTAAATAGATGTGCTTTGCCAGATACTTATATAACGTGTCCTCGTATAGTTCGAAGCTAATTAGATTCCCGATAGATAGTTTTGCTTTTCTTTGTATCGTCTACCCTATCTAAGTACCAAAACCGTTCGGTTAACCCACGTCGAACGTAACGTCGTTATTTATATTGGCCGACATCCAATCAGCGAATTATCGATTGACCTATTGATAAGCACATTGTGCTTGTTATGTACGCGCGATTATTCATGTCCTACTACTTGTTCAGGATCTTGAAAACAGCACTTAAATTATATGTAACGTAAATAGACAATTCTGCTGACGGTAATTGTTCTCACAACACCAACATTGAGTGCTTTCCCGACTATTGACACATTGAGCTCAACGTACGTATACTGTTCCCACACGATGCGGCAGCATCAGTGGCCGTAAATGGTCATCGTCGATGACTCTGGCCGCCGCGAACCGCCGATTTATGCAGACATCGCACCCACCTTTGTTTCCTAACGCATGATTAACCTATAATTATATCGATTTAATTATGTTATAATAAATAGTGGCTCTCCGTACAGAACTTGGTCGATGTCTCTTCTCGATGTGTTCTTCTATTCAGTATTGAAGACCGGATAGAGACGATGCGCGCAAATTTCCTGTCGCATCTATGATGCAACACTGTGCCGTTATATTGGGATATTTCATCTAATTAGTTTGTATGAATAAGGTGTGTACCGTAGCCATTTAGGAAAAGTTCTAACGATAAATTCCAAAATAGTAGTTCGTGTACTGCGATTACAATCGTTCTCAGTGCTTCCGCCGGCTTAATTATTACTCCATTCTCAATTCCAATCGAAAAATCGATTGGAATCATATCCAAAATCGGGTTTCAACAATACCTTTGGGGGGTATCTGGAAAAAAAACATCGTTTGCGTACGATCAATTTATTGCTTTAAAAGAGCGAATATGCGATGATTGTCTCGGCAAGACTTTTGTCACGCCCCTTCGATAAGCCGGGCTGAAAAACAGTCGTCTGTTATATCATTGTCGTCTATCCATTCTCCTTAGTAAACCAATGTTGGGAAACTTTAATTTCCGCTATCTTTTTATTTATACCGACAATAAAGACAACGACAGAGGCCATAGGTTTTACCCTTCTAACGGTTAATAAATCTTCGAACACTGCCCTTTGATGTGCAGAGAGTGCTGAAGTGGATTGCGCAAAATGGACCTAGAGAAAGGTTTTAGGACGGCAAAGAAGATTCGATGTTTTAGAAGCTGGCGATCCGCGAGCATCCAACTATACTCTTTTTCCATAAAAAAAAATGACCCCAGGTAACGTGTTCTATTTTAGCGGGAAAAAGAAAGGCGAAAACAGTCATGGACTGCTCCAGCTTGACTGAGTTGTCGTGGTCTAACGAACCCATTCATTCATTCACTCCTTTATTCTGTGCGTGACTGCATAATCTACTATTGCTACGCAAATTCACTACGGTGATCTATCCGTTTGTTTTCTATTTCAAACCAGCCGAATGTAGAGTAGCTATCATCATTGTCATTTGTGTGCTTCGTTCCAGGTTTGTTCCAGATCTAGATATTTTCATGCAGTGTTTTTTTATACGCTAAAATTGAAGACCAAGCTTCACTTATGGATTTGCTATTTTCACTCATTTGAGCCTGTTTACGACGCCTCTTTTACGTCGTATCCCAGGACAAGAAGGAAGACGAGCAAAACAGGTCTGGCAAAGCGTACAGATTATGTGCGGCGGTTCAGTATAGCCTCATATTATTCCGATCACAGTTGTTGCTAGTTCTAGTAGCGGATGCTATTGTTATGGTTATTTCTCATCATACTAATTTAGTGCGGGTTTGCCTTGTCAGCACCCACTGACCAAGTTTCACATTCGTATATTTATCGTACTATGTCGGACGTATTTATTATTACTGAATGGGGCAATACAGTTTAATTAAAAGCCACCTAACTTTATTACGATAAAGAATAATGCACTTCTGCTGTCGCTACACACGGTGCCCTTGTTGATTTTTTCCCTTCTTTTCTTTAGTTATCGCTAAATAAAAACAGAAATAGATATTTGTACGCCAAAGCTATAGTGGCCATCAATTAGGGCACCGATTTGCCTTTCTCCTCCTGTATAAGACACGCATACGTCGCGTGCATATACACAGTTGTCTAGACACGTATAGACGCCGACACATTTTAGTAGAAACAACCGCGTTCGATCACTCATGGGCATCGATATGGTAATTGCATTACGCAGCGTAGAAAATAGCAAAAGGGGCGTACGTTTTCTCGTTCTCCTGTTGCGTTTTCTCTTGTCACTTCTAACATCTACGCACATGGGAAAAACGTCATAGCGACAATTAATCCGCCAAACGTTTCTGCTTTCGAATGAATGGATGGTGTATTCGGCGGTGTTCGATGCAGGCTTCCTCAGAAGGGAGAATCTCACTCACATCATAAGGACGAACGGAAACAGATCAGGCATTTGCACCAGAGCTTCGAATAGGGCTCTATGTTGGTTCCAGCAAGAACAAACCGATACTACTAACGGACACTAACAGCACTCGCTCTAAAATGTGCTATTACTACGTTTTTCCGTACGTTCGCCTCCTATTCGCACACAAGTAGGAACACGATCACGCGTACAATCTCTACGATTGTCGTGATCACCACGACTAGTGTAGTCAAGATCATTATTTTCACCAATGGTGCAAAGATTGGTCCGACGGTTGTACCTATTTAGTACACACTCGAACTTCTCAAACGCCTCGAATCGAACGTCTAACTGCCTATTTTACAAACGTTAGTTGATTTGTTGCGTCCCGACGCGTAGAGCGTATTGCAGTGATGTTTTGCAAGCTATTGCCTCACTTGCCTCAACACAGAGACTAAACCTAGGACGGATTCGCTTAACAGAAACAAAGATGGATGTGTTATCAGATAAAAAAACGAGACGCTGCTGCTGTTGCCGCTGACGACGCCGATAACGATTTTGAGCGGGACCGTTGCGGCTGACGTTCGATGACGACACAATGATCGGTCATAGCGGTTAATATACAATAAAATTCATAGATTCTAACATAAACCCAGCAAGTAGCTAAACCCAGCTAGATATTGCTTTCCTTGCAATTCTTCGCGACGTGCACGACCCGCAATCATGTCATCAATTTCATCTATATTTTGCCGCAGATAGTAATGAAATCGTCGTAACAAAAATAGATGGAACGAACAGAAGAAGAAATGCTAGCTTTACTTTATATCGACATATATTACAAGTACTTATAATAAAGGGGTCGACGGAACTTCACTCAAGTATAAATTAGCGACCCGTAAAACAACCGCGTCGAAAAAAATGCAACAACTAAATAACACTACGTTAACTGCAGCCGCACAAGATCAATCAGAAAGTCAGGGCCGCGCCTTGTTTTCTTACTACTATGCGCCTAACCCTTTGCTTTTTACCTGTTGTCTATTGAATCACCCTAGATTTGAACCGTGACCTGTTGGTACAGCGGTCACCCAGGAAGAGGGCCCATGACGTAATAGGCCCATTTTGTTCGCCGGCGAAACAGCAGGCTCGCACTGCGGGGCGTCAGCCCTAATGTCAAGTACAATATGTCAGGTTTCCTTGATCGGTTGTTAGCTATCTGGGTTTTGGGATTTGCTGGGTTTTTTTTCGAATGAGCCATGAAACGGCACGGTCACAAAATGCCATGCTAACCATTTGGAAACACTAAACCTGAACCGACTATGGGCGCATACATATGACCCAGAAAGATACGCGCTGCTTACCCAGGCTATGGCGCCCTATCGAAGCCGATAGACGGATAAAGTAAACGTGTGTATCATACATACGGGTCCATCTATATGGTTGTACGATATATATAACACCAATTCAAGTCATACAATAATAATTAGAAAACCGTTATTATTGGTCGCTGTCAAAGAAGAAAGCATATTCGAGGGAAGAAAGAATTTGTCCGTTCGCCCGCGAACTTTTGAAGATCCGGGGCAGGTGAACGTAAACGCCAATGCTTATCGAGTCTGTTCTGACCGGACCAATTAGCCGTCTAGCGGCTAATGGCCAAGGCCAATGTGTGCAAATGTCAGGACCAGCGAACATGAGCCTAAACAGACAGCTCACAGTAACAGCAGCAGCAGCGACGTTACTAATCATCGTTGTTATTATTATAATCATTGTGAAGATATCGATACGACCGGAGGCGACGGGTGAAAGGTGCAGGTGTCGTCGATTTTCCGTTTGTCTCTGTCTATCGGACCGTCCGTCCATCAGAGTGTGTGTATGTAACGCGATCGTGTGCCGGCCTGTATCTCTGCAGCGATACCGTCGCTTCGGTAGTATTCTGGCGATGGCAACGGTTGCGGATTTGTTGTATGCGGCGTCGCTGTCCCTGCGGTCATCGGCGCGACGTCTGCTATCATTTGAGAGGAGCCAGGTGGTTTCGTTGATGCTTTGTGCGACCGACCACAACGACGACAGCGATACGGTACGCAGACGACAAAAAGGCTTCGTTTAGACTTTAAATGAAATCGTCTGCTTCAACGATAATTGGTCATGATCAAAAACATTAGTATTCGTTTAATGTCAATGATGATGGTGTCGGTTAATTCAATGCTCCTTACTATTATCTTCTTTGGTCTGCGATCGTTTCGTGCAATAAGTAATGAGCAGAATGTGTTAGGCTTGCTCGGTCGCGATCGACCCCCACTTTAGTGCCTTGATACTTACCCGGGCCCCGATTTTTCTTCTACGGACGCAGATATAAAACCGCATCCGATTACATGTTATTTTGTCTAAACGATTGTGTGTCGCAGTAAAAACTCT